CTTTATTTGTTTGAGCACTTTCTGCAGAGAAACTTGTGAAGATGATCACAAGTAAAAGGGATAATGTTAATATGAGAGAATAGAATGAATTTATGGGGATGGATATCACTCATGCAGCTTCACCTTCATTGTCTTAATCTATTGTCTATCAAGGATATCCAACAATAATAGATATGCTTTCCCACAGTTCCACACTATATAACTTATTTTGCAAGTAATTCACCTTAAAAAAAATTGATGACTTCTCTCTCCAATGATCAATGTTTTTAAATAGTCTATATATCATTCTGCCTTTTGGATAAAATAGGACAGAAAAGCAGCAAGGCAAGTATCAATCACATTTTAGTTTTCTCTGTAACATAGATACTCGTCTTTTTATTACTACTAATAATAGAAGAGTTGGTGGAGTTTATCTTTAAAAACAAGGATAACTTCAAAACCAAATCTATTTGGACTGTGTGATATGAGCACCGATGCTTACCCTTTAAAACAGAACACAAACTTCAGCAAATGAGAAAGGTTAAAAGGAAAAGCATTATAATTTAAAATGTGAAACTAGACAGGAATAGAAATCCATACTCAGGAGCCATCAGAAGCTTTCCTAATGGATGTCAATAAATGCACAATCAGAATACTAATTACAAGAAATTCTCAATATTATCATTAAACTTTGGATTCCTTCTTTAATTTATATTTCAATCTTTTCAGCACTTACTTATTATTATTTATTGTTACAGAGCCTGGTCCAACCATATAAAAAACTGAATTCAACAACAAAAGTCCTTCCATTGATTAGAGTATGTTTGTCTGACTGAAATAAAAAACCCAATGATACCATATCACAGAAATTATATTCTCTCTGAACTCAGACTTCTATGACAAAGTAATACACATCAAAATCCAGTGGGATGTAAGACGATAGCGTAAACAAATCTGTGTTTTTTATAAGAAAAAAAAAGTTACCCTATTAAATTTAGCTAAACAAGAGAGAAGAACTGAGTGTAAAATAGATAAGGACACCATATTTTAAAACCAAAAAAAGGACAGAAGTTATTTTGGGCAATATACTCTTTTTCTTCTTCGTGGATAGATTGTTGAATATTGCTAACCATATCCTGGGCTGTATCAAAAGAAGCCTGGCCAGCAGGTTGGGGTAGGTGATTCTGCCTCTCTGCTCCACCCTCACGAGACCCTACGTGGAGTACTGTGTCCAGCTCTGGCACCCCCAACGTAAGGACCTGTTGCGCTGGGTCCAGAGGAGGCCACAGAGATAATCTGAGGGCTGCAGCACCTCTCCTACAGAGACAGGCTGGAGAAGAGAAGGCTCTGGGGAGACCTTAGAGCAGCCTTCCAGTACCTAAAAAGAGCTGGAGAGAGACTTTTCACACACAAGGGACAAGGGGTAATGCCTTCAAATTGAAAGAGGAGAAGTTTAGACTAGATATGAGGAAGAAATTCTTTGCTGTGAGGGTGGTAAGAAACAGGTTGCCCAGAGAAGTTGTGGATGCCCCATCCCTGGAAGTGTTCAAGGCCAGGTTGGATGGGACTTTGAGCATCCTGCTCTATGCTCAACATACGTGGCAGGTGCATGTATCCAAGGTACACGGCAGGAGGGTTGCAACTAGATGATCTTTAAGGTCCCTTCCCACACAAACCATTATATGATTCTATAAACCCTGAGCACAGTTAAAAAGGACAGCAATAATCCCTTCTTGCTGAAACACGGTAACATGTTCAGCATTCCTTATTCAGGTAATGAATATTGGAGATGTCAGAAAAACCAGCACTGCAGGCATTGAAAGCCTATTGATTTTTTTATCATAGTTGAAACATTGTAGAACACCAACAAAGCAGAATAAATGTATTTGGAAACCTTTCATTTTTATTTATTTTTCACGTAGGAACATGTTTATTGCTGTTCCTTTTATAGATTTTCGCTGCAAAAACATCTGTGAATTTTAGTTCCTTCATCTAACGGAGTAAAATGTTTTGAGTGTTTTCTGGTTTTCTTTTTAATGTGTTATAAATATAAAAGTCTGCCTGTGGTTTTTGAGACCATTTCTAGGCTGATGCACGGTAGAAAGACTGTCAAAACATGTACAATTTCTTTAGCAGAGAAACACACTACAAGCTGTGAAAGCCTGAATGAACTGTAGGCTGTATCGGAATACGATAGAGTGGAAGCTTTATCCTAAAGGAAGATCTTATCAAAAGAAATAATAGAAATATTTGAAAGGCACAGGACATGTGCACCATCACACCCTAAAAAAACCCACAACAAACTCCCCTTCCCCCCTCAAAAAAACCAAAACCAACAAAAAAACCCCAAACCCTAAAAGTCAGAAATTATATGGACTGCAGCAAAATTTCAATTAAATATTTGAGACCAAAGAAATCAGAAAAATGCAATTTTCAGACACTAACTTTCAGTATCTAACAGGGCAGCAATAATAAACAGAGGCAAATTAACTGTTTTTAAAGCCAGCAAAAGAGGACCTTCTTAGACTGGCCGAAATAGATAATTATGATGTGACAACAACATTCCTCTGATTTCCTTTGATGTAAATGTTCTAGTAAGACAAAAGCCCTGAAGAAAACACCAATCATGCCAATATAAATACATAAAACTTCTCAAATTCAGGCAGGGTGGTTATATGGCTACAATCTAAAAAAAATCAATTTTTTTTCAAGTGCTCTTCTTTGCAACAAACAAAATACCTAATGAAGTAAAAGAAATGTGACAAAATGTAAGCATAAAATAATGGCTTTTAAGAATTTTCTTTGTGTTTAGAAAGAATTTTTCTCCATTTTAAAGAAGGTGGAATGCTGACAGTGGAAAATCTATGCACAACTCAGCTCTTGTCTCACCATTAAAGGATCAGTGATGTAAACCAAATACTGCTTAACCTTCTTCTTCATGATCCATATTTCTTGAACTATGTAGAAGGGCAATATATCTGCTAACTCCTGTACACTCCTTCCATATAAAAGCCAGCAGCAATATTCCTCAGTACCCTTTAAGAACAAGCAGCGAATTTATCATATCTGCTTGTAATGCCCTTTGGGACTCTTCAGGAAGAAAGGCACAGTAAATGTAAGCTCATTAGCATCATTAACTCCTTTTATACACCAGCTGAGCTCAGAAGGAAAAATGGGAGAAAAAATATAAGGGCAAAAAAGGTTAAATATATTTGCCATTATCTTCCTGGTAGGTATTGTTAGTTTCTAACATTCATAGATACCTTTATTAGATGAAACTTATTATTTATTAGGAAGTTTTAAAATTAGCTTGATCATTTGCTTCCATGAGATGACACTTAGGTTGCTAAGGAAGAAGAAGAAAATGGCTTGACTTACGTTAAGGGGCATGCAACACAGCAGTGCCTACTTATTACACGTTCTCCTAAGACTTAAGGTTCCCACAGGTACACCTCACCTACATGTGTGAAAGAACAGTCTGAGGAAAATGAAAAACTTTTGGTTTGTTCTGTTTGTGTGTTTTCTGGGTTACTGTCATGGCCAGGAATGACACCTGGAGTTGAATGGGACAGGACTCACCAGCTTTAGCCATTGAAAGATCACATTTTTCACCCAAAATAATTTTCTAAGCTCCTCCTAGCGTAGACATGTCTGAGTAGCACCTGCAGCTAGGATTTTATACCACATGTTGGACATCACTATCAGATAAATGGCCTCGGGAAGACACTTTTCTCTCTCTGTTGACAGCAAGGTCAGCCCAGTGAGTACCTTCATGTACAGCCTACCTCTCCGACAGCTAGGTGAACTTGTGCAGCTATATTTTTAATATCATCAAGAATTAACAATTCAGACAAAAGGATCCTTCTGACACTACAGCTTGATTCAATCTCACTGAGAAAAAATGGTACTAATCTTGCCTCTTGTTGCAGCCAAGAGATTGGGTTTATGTGTATATGAGACATGTATTTTCTGTTACTGTTGATTTCCATAATTTTCTTTGTTGATCATTAATACAAAGAAGATAGGGCCCCAACCTGCAACCACATCTCAGGTCCTTGGGATCTCAAGATTTTAGATCCACAGTCCTGATTTCAGTCCCTAAACCAGGGAGCTCTGGCATCTTTTACTAAATTTCTGATCTTTACATCAAATGGGTTAAGCTTGAGGGGGGAAAGAATGCTTTTCAAACTGCTTTATGGGAAACGTTTTAAACTTTTAAACTGGTTGGGCATAAGTTGCAAGAAAATTCTTAAAAATGGAAACAAAGGCGATGGAGAATCCTTAAGGGTACTTCTATAATATTTACTTGCATATTCGGCAAGCTGTCGCCTGAATGAAGTAAAAATCAGAGGAATAAGAGGAAGAACTATGAAGTTTATCTGACTGTATAAAGCCAAGAAACAAAATCACACACAAACGTCCAAAGCGGGAGAGAAATCCGTGGAGACGTTTCTGATGCTGTTCCGCTGCGGGCCGATGTTTCCTTCAGCTCAGCCTGGTGCTTCATGTTGCGCTCTCACCCGCCGCTTTCCTCCCTTGCCCGTCGTGGCCTCTGCCCCTGTAGCGCGGCTCCTGAGCCGCCCCGGCGCCGACAGCTTCCCACACTGCCTCCCACCCAGCCACCCACCCGCGATTCGTGCAGGGCAGAGACTCCTGGTACCGTCGCAGGGCGCTCCGCTCTCCTATCGCTCTCCTCGGCCCCGCTGGCACCCGCGGGCCGATGTGGGCAGCCAGACCCTGACATGGGGGCGAGCCGGCAGAGACACACCGGGCGGGCAGCAGGGTCTCACGGAGCGGCTCTGGGGGCGGCCGGGGCGGGAAGGGCACGGCTGGCCCGGCCCCGGCCCCTCCCCTCGCCCCGGCGCCCCCGGCCGGCGGGCGGTGCCTCGGCCCCGCGGCGCCGCTGGGCGGCGCTTGCGCACTGCGGAGGCCGCCCTGCCTGCCCGCCTCCCCGGCGCGCCCCGGGAGCCGCGGCGGAGCCGGGCTGAGCGCAGCGGAGCCTCACCGGGCTGAGCGGGGCCGCGGCAGCGGGAGCCGGAGCAGAGTCTGCTGCGGACAAGCCTCTGCCTGCCTGGGCGGCCGCGGCTGCCGCCCCGCTTCTCCTGTTGCCCGCACGACTGGGAGGCAGGAGCAGCCTCGAGGGGTCGGTCCCGATGCTGCGCCTTCCCGGTGCCGGCAGCAACTTTGCCGCTCCGGCCGCGCTCGCTGCTCCCTGCCGCCGTTCGAGCGTTCGGAGGGTGCAGTGACCGATCCCAGCAAGAGTTTTGCAAAGCTCTGATACACCTTGAGCTGCTCGCAACAACCTGTGTTCTCCGAGGTGCTGGAGAGAAGGAATTATGTGTTCGCGACCGCCCGGCGAGGGGAGGTGTCTTTCTCAAGGGACCTTTCCTCACCCATAGAGCTGCCGGCTGCCCGCGACGACGGGAGGACGCAAATGGGCAGAACGAGGCCGGTGTGGCTGCTGGCGAGGAGGCAGCGGTCCCGGGAAAGGGCGGAGCGCCGGGGGGGGGTCCTCCCGGCGCTGCACTTGCTACATTAACTCGGCGCGTCGGAGACGGCGACACAACTTTCTAGGTCCGCCCCGGGTGGCGGCGAGAAGAGCCTCTTCGCCGCTCCGCTCGCCGCGCTCCCAGCTCCGGCCGCTGCCCGCGGCGGACCCCGGCGGCAGCGGGAGCCGCGCTCCGGCGGCAGCAGAGTCGCGGTTTCTCCCGCTCCGGCCCCGGCGAGGAGGGCTGTCCCTGGGAGCCGGGCGGGCATGTCTTCCACTTCCAGCCCCGCTGAGCGGGGCGCACGCCGCCTCTGAAGGGGAGCGTGTGAGCCCCGCCGCCTCCCGGCCATGCGGCCCCTCCGCGCTCCCCTCGCCTTGCTCTGCCAGGTGCTGAGCGCCTGGGCTGCCTGCACCCTCGCCCCGGCTCCCGTCGCGGCCGCCGGGCCGCCGGCGCCCCCGCAGCGCGCCCGCTCGCAGCCAGCCCC